CAGCTACTAGTAGACAACTTTACCCATTTGTCGTAGCCAGTTACTAATAGCCAGTTACTAGTAGCTAACTTTACATATTTAAGCTTGTTAGGTTTTTTTAACCTGCTGTAACAAATGTTTATCCTCGTTTAAACAAATACTGCACGCACTTTATTGTTTAATACAAATTGTAACCAGAAGGAATTTCATATCAAAAATTGCTTTAGAGTGATTGCTTTTTTTTTTTTTTTTGCTTTTAATGAAGCTTTAAAGAAAATGAAATCCAAGAGGTCAAAAAGGAGAAAGAAAAGTCAATTGGTAAGAATACAAGCTAAGTAACAAAAGCCTTATACGATAGAGTCCAAAAAATCAAAATGTCAATATGTATCAATTTATGAAAACATGAATAAATCTAGACAATAAGATAAAAATATATTTTAAAAACTAAAGCATCCTGCTGTATGAAAAATTTAACGCAATCGTCGTATAAACAATCTTCGTATGTAACACGATGATGACTGTGCACAAAGTATAAAATGTAACATTCTTAAAAATCAGGCTTTGATTTAAATAAAAGAAAAATGATTTTTAAAAAAAGGAACTTTTCTTTTCTTTACTGCACTCCTACAGAAAAAAAATCATGTTCTACAAATTCTTAATGCACCTTAAAAAGACTAAATTTACTTCTTAAATCCAACACAGATACTTACTGGCAATATTTCACCCAAAGAGATTGAGGGAGTAAAAATTATCAACAAATCCAAGGATCTCTTTTTGATTTAGTTCTGTTTCAAGATCTTATAGATTTTTCTACATTAAATATATATAAATCCAAAATATCCATTTAATTCTGAATCGCTCTCTCAGTTTTATATCTATGTAAAACTTGATTAAATTTTTTTACATTTTGGTAAAATGACAGTCAAATCTTTACATATTTCGACGATCAGTTATGTTTGGCAAACAAAAGTTTATACAAAAATGAAAATTAATTAAATTAAATTTTGTTTGTAATCTAAATTGATATACAGCTAAAAATGTACATATCATATTTACAGGGAAAAAATTTTCAAACACCTGTGTTTATGGTAACTGACAACATGACAACTGGTAAATAAATATAGGTTTTGATTACGTTAAATTTATGGTAAATAACGTAATGAAAGAAAGATCTCTTATAGACATTTGTTCTTCTATGATTGCATAATACGAAAAATAAAATGTATTATATTAAATACAAAGACAACATTCTAACCATGACTGTACACATTACAATTTAAATTCATCTCTTTTTGCATTAGAGGAAAAGTCAGAGATACAAAAATCGAAGAGGATAAAAAGGAGAAGACATTCCACAGTAAGAATACAAACTTACTTAATACTTTATAATTGTATCGGTCAAGAAAGCATGTTTTGATGTAGAGACTATGATGATGTTGTTTTCAAAAGAAAACACTATGTATGATGAGAAACTTAATAAAAAAAATCTCTATAAATAATATTTTGCGTATGAAAAACAAAAGTGATCACAGTTTTATCAAAGTGCAAAAATGATTTTTGCATTCTTACACATGTTAGCATAAGAAAATGACAACTTTGATAGCTTTGGAACCAACTTCCTTTAAAAAGTCTACATGCAAGAAAATATATACATACGTATTATCATTGCATCTTGATACAGAGGTTCAACTCTTCATATAAAATATATGTATATTTACCTTTAGAGATTGAGCTTATTCTAAATTTCTTAAATGTAGTACATGTATAGCGAAGAGTGAATTCGTCTACGAACTTTTCGAACAACCTTCGTACATAAGTACTTAACAATTCTTCATCCAGGAAATCAAATCCGTTCGGAAAAAAGACTTGTTCCTTAAATCACGAAAATTTGACCCAACAAAATTTGTTATCTAAAAGTATGGAGTTAATCAGGAAAAAAGAGGTTAATATGATAATTTCCTTCTTAAATGGTTGATTTTAATTGTGATTTTGTAATTTAAATTGACATACAGCTGCATATATATATTTCGATTTTCAGGAGATAACTATTAAGACAACTGAGTTTATAAACACCAGTAGAGGAACACATGGTAATCAAATTAATTTTACAAATTCCAAATATTTAATATTGGTTTTTAGTTAATGAATTGTAAGGTCCGTGATTTCCATTGAACAAATTAGACAATGAGGAATATTTCAAAGGACTGAATTTCAGAAAGACACAAACAAGCTTAAACGTTTAGAAACAGAATGATTGACTAATTTATTGAATTTTATTTAATATCTCATCAGAGTGTTTCCCTTTGTAAAAAGTCTACGGGATTTGTCAATGAACTGCATTTTTTTAGTTTATTGTATTTACACATATAGAAGTTGTCAATCCTTATAGTTTTTTTCTATAGGGGCAACAAAGGTATTGATTTAAAACTTTTATCTCATGTTACGATATATACATCTTATAGCTTTGATAGAACGGTTGCTGAATAAGGCATTCTATATTTGATACGGAAATATAATAAAAAAAAACGCGGGGTAACACTTGATGCAAAATTCATGTGACCGCAAGGCTAGAAAATAAATAAAAAATAATCAGTATGGATTATTCAGCCAGGAAATACATGGCGTGTCATAATGAAAGTTATAAAATGTCAGGCGTGCACATGATACGTTTGGTAGTGTACCTTATTTTTCCGCTCTTTCATTGGAGGAATGTAAATAGTTTTTTTTTTCTTTATTGACAACCAATTTTAATTTCCTGTAATCATGGTAGAAAAAAAATGTAGATGAATTAAAACTCATCAAATGTCCATGCGTTTTTATAAGAGATTCTTTTATTGATCACATTTTTATAGCCTGCAATTCAAAAACGCAACAGAAACAGAACCTAGAACAGACACATATGGTAAGAATGCTTAAATCTGTAAAAAAAATAAAAATAGCTACTCAACATACAATTGTAAGAAGTCTTTATTGAATGATTCCTCTTATTTGTTTTTGGAAACGTATTTTGACCTTCAAATAACATGAATGTAATGCTTAAAGTGAATGCATAAATATGTTACTAATTTATTTCCTGGAATGAAAAAAATCTTCAAGATCCTATTCCCAATAATTGTAGAGAAAAATAAAGGACAGACCATGTGAGAGATATTTTTTCGTCACTTCGAAAGGTATGCAATTACAAGTAAGACTTTTCTTAACTTTTTTCCCATGTAGATATGTCATTGCACCTTTTAAATAATGCCATTTGCCTTTCTGATTAAAGGTTTAAAAAAAAGATTTTAAAAAAATCCTTCTCCACCGGAGCTCTGCCCTGCTCAGCTAAACAACTTCCATTGAATGTATATAATAAAAAAAAGAGTCCACTCAGTGGTTTTACTGTTTCATTTCTTTTCTATTAGACGGGTAGAAAACAATGGATGCAAGAACCCCATTATGTAATTATCGGACTCCTCCAGATAATTATGGACATTTAAATGGCAATGATTGAATTAAGATATATGCCTCATACTACTCTATATGTAAATTTTTTCAAATACGTGTTAGTGATACAGTCCGTTGGATACACTAATGCTTTATCAATGGGTAAATGCTTTATCAATAGCACTTCCGGTTTTGACACGATCCCTCACTTCAAAATTTATTTGAAACTTTTATTTGTGATCCCTATTATTGCCCTAATAAAATGAATGATAAAGAGCGATAATATCTATCAAAGCCAGAAAAAGAATCGTATATGTCAAAGAAGTGTCTTATTTATTTAACAAGGAACTTGTGTTGGCTACTTGAAGACCAATCTATATTATCCCCCCCCCCCCGTTTTAATCGTTTTCGGAGAAAGTAAATCCTAGCAGTTAAGTTGTTGTTATAAGTCTCCTTTAACATCTTTCAATAAGGTTTTCTTATATTATTCTACGTATACCTACCTAGTAATGTAGGTGTAACTTACCATGGATCAACAATGAATCTACAAGTACTGAAGTAGGCCCTTGCCTATCACATTTTGTACTGCCATCATCTAAAGAGTTCATTTTCATGATCCAATGTTCCTTACAACTTTCATTCAGTAGTCCGTTTTATGTAAAGCTCCAGCAATTGTCTAATAATGTTTTCAAAGATGCATATAGCAAAAATTCTAAATTTTGAACACGATCTACTTTCTTTCGAGGTATGCCATAACATCAACGTTGCGACGTCATCAAGTTATATGTCATCAATTTGAATAAGCAATTATTCATGTAGTTTGGCAGAGGAAGTCTCAAAGTTTTGTTTAAACGAAAGTCGTATGAAATAGAACATCTATGATTGTGTGCTTTGATATTGGCTTTATCCAACTCGTTGAAATGGTGTATATTCGCTCGGCAAGCCTCGCAAATCAATACAACATTTCAACTCGTTGGATAAAACCAATATCAAATCACACAATATAGATATCCTCTAAATATCAGACTGTCCCTAATGAGCCTCAAACAGTCTGATAACATAACATGTGTAGAACAGTATTGGGCATTTATCCGTTACTTAAGACTTCAGAAGTGATCTTCTTTATTTACAATTGAAAAGTGCACTACCTGTGACAACAAAATAATTCCGGTCATGCTTTAATTTCAAACACCTTGACCTTCAAGATTGACCTAATTAAAAAAAAATCTTATGGAATAACTTCTGAATGACAAATGAAAGGGCGTTCAAATTTGACATTATATACCATATTGAAAAATGACTTATACACGTACAACGACAGCGAAAGCGGGGGACCACAATTTACTTGGTTTAAGTTACTTGATAACACTTATATCAAATTCTTATGTTTTTGTTCTTTATTTTTATTAAAGATGTTTTCCTTTATATCATCATCAGTCTTATCAGAGAAAAACCAGAGTGGAAACGGTTCGTTCAGATCTTTTTGATATGCACAATGGTATGTATATATGTACATTTTAAGTGAGCATATTTTGCATGAAAATAAAAAAAAATTCCCTTACAGATTGTCGACATGATATTTTTTTTTTTCAGTTTGAAACAACAAGAGCAATGTTTTGCCCAGAATCAATGAAAACTCTATCTGTTGTTAAAGCATGCCCTTTAAATGAAAAGGATTGGCTCTCTGCTGCCAAAAAGATGAAATGCGAAAGCAAAAACCAAACTTGCTGTCCAAAGGAAGATTACAAATACCACTGTCTTGTTAATGTCTTCCAAAACGTTACATTTCAACTTTGTGCACCCAGAATAAGATTAAGTGAGTACATAAAGAAAAAAAATATGAAATTTTCAGAATTGCCAATTATCATAAAAAAGTTTATAAGAAAAACTGTATTTTTGATTCAGAAAATGAAAACAAAACTGTTGTCATGACGTAGTGATGAAAGCAAGCTGCAGAACTGTACGTAGCTCTCTGCTTGATACACATCGGATAGATAAAGCAGAGAGCTACGGATCCAAGCGTTTTAAACACCTTCGATTTACGCCGCCAAAATATATTTCCTTTTTTATTTCAGGATTATGAAAACGGTATATGCCCTTAAATACATGTATCTTATTTTAAAGAAAAGGTTATTACGAAACGATGACATATATGATTCTTCAGTTATATGTCAATGCCTTATCATTTTCAGATTACTGTCCTCAGTATAACGACTACGGAGCTAGGGTTCAGATTAACTTCAATGCTAATTGCACCGACACGTCAACTGATTGTGGGAAATTTTATGATTCCAATAAGGCGTATGAAAGTAAGTTTAAAAACTGTGAGTTTTTGCTCTTTAGCAATGTACAAACATTGTATCTTTGTGTGTGTAAAATTTACAGTGTGTATATTCAGGAACGGTGAGTGCAGTACCTTTTTTTTAAAAAATACTTTTAGTCTTACCGTAATACATAGACAGCAATGATAACAAAGGAATAGGGGGATCATAAATCGGTCAACTGTAAGACGTACAAGTCGAATATCCTGATAATCGCATGGATAAACACAGTTTCGCTTCCTGTTTTCATCGTAATACTATTTTTATTCACGATTGAACAGTGTATCTTTTATTTTTGGCTTCCATTACATGCATTCTAATATACCAATAGGTTCACGGAATTCTTAAAAATCTCATAAATACATAAATGTGAGTTAGTTTTGGATTGCTGACTTTTGCTTTTATCTTAATTCCTATAAAACTTGTACATTGTAATAAATAAAGGTATAAATGAGGTTCCCAGATATTGCATTGCAATTAGAATGATTAATTGTATTTTAATTAGTTACATATCGAGTTTAAATTTCCTTCTGCAATATTGATTTTTGATGGAATTTTTGGATTTTTTGAATCGGGTTCGTTATCACTTAATTAATGTACCAAAAGAGCTTTAAACAGGTCTGGACGATTTCTAAATAAGGAAGTCAAGAACGATAATCGTGAATTGCTATTAATACACAGAATAAACAAGGCACTTATCCTTCTGACCAATCAGATAACAGCATTTAGACAAACCCATGAGAGGATAAATAAAACACGTGGTATTTAAGGTTTTTTGCTGTGAAATTTTTTCTAGAACAAACTTTTTGTAAACTTTACACGCATTTGGGATTAAAATAATATTTATGACAATTCTACCGTGAAGAAACACGACTTGAAAGCTTGGAATACTTTTAAGTGGGATAAAAAAAAATCTGTCACTAGGAGTAAGTAATCCAAGAAGTTTACGTTTAAAAATTGATATGAATACGGTAAATTTTCAGTTTTCAGATCCTGACATAAGAATCTGATCGGAAAGATAATAGTCTTTATTATTTTTGAGTGTTTATTACAGAATATTAGTAGTCAATGCAGTTTCTGATATATGAAGTAAGATATTGGGATAAAACGCATTCATGTATAATTACAGGATTCTCTTTTCTCCACGTTAAACGCCTTTCCTTATGCCCATTTAAAGTCTGCATAGCTAAGTATTCGGCGCTCTTGAAACCCGTGATAATGCAAAACTATATGTGTATACTCCATACGATAAACACTTATGTGAGTTGATCTATACACATGGATTTTAAGCATTATCGATGGAAATCGGACTGATTAGCAAAATTATATTTACCATCATATAATATATTCTGGTAAATGTTATAACTGAACTTGATAAAAACTTGCTGCTGCGATCTAAGCCTCTGTAAATGATAACATTCTATAGTGCATTATTTTTTTCTTTACCGAGATAAAAGTGTTTAGGTTGTTCACGATAAAAATGTGGGGAATACCTTATTCTTTAAAAGTTTTCATCTACTTTCTACATATTTTTTGTTGAAAAAATCTTTTTGAGGAAAAAAACGAAAGCACGTGTTATCTTTTTGTTCTTTTAAAATATGTTTTGGGGTGTGTAAAAATGCTGTTGTCTGATTGGACAGAAAAATAATTACGTGTACTTGATGTACATTTATAGCAATTTTCGGTTATCGTTCTTGACTTCCATATTTAGAAATTGTCCAGATCTGTTAAAGGGACACATAATTTCCAATATCTTCTGGAGTTGTTCTAGATATTCTTGATTACTAGAAATATAATTAGATTAAAATTTATTAACTCTGTGTTTCATTATTATTATTATTATTGTTGTTAAAAGATGATTTATTGAGGAGTCTACTATTTACTCCCTGCTTAAAGGACTCAAAGAAACATTGATATTCTTTGTTATAGATTCAAATTCGAGATATAAAATGTTAATTATTTGCTGGCAGAATTTTGTATAAATAAAAGTCAGATATTAGAGAGAGAGCATGCATGAGAGAGACTTTTAATTTTTGAATACATTTGGAGTGACGTGATTATATCTCATTCTGCATAAAGAATATGCAATATTTCTTTTTATATAGAATGATACATTTGACCGGCGAACAAACGCCATTAAATCATTACAGAAATGAAAACAGAAAAAAGAATAAAATTTAATAAGTATGAGAGTTGTTCAAAAAGTTCGTGGACATTGTCAATCTTCTTTATACTACTGTCATACTTTTTGAAGAAAGGATTAGGTGACATACGACCCCTGTTAAATTGACAAAAAAGAATAAATGTCCAAATTTTACTATTCACTATTTACTATTTAAATTATTTTTTGCAACAAATCACTGATATGTGTACTTTAATAATTTTTTTCAACAAAATAGATGTGTTATTTGAAGGATAGAGATCTTTCATTTGGGTAGATGTGTAGCATTATGGTTCTATATATTTGTCTTTGAGCATAACGCTACATAAATGTAGTGGATTGACCAATGCTAGAAAGTAGACAATTCTCTCCAAAAGTGTGCAAAAGATATTGCGCCGTAAATAGCACATTTTTTGGCATTACGGGGTCCATCTGTAGCGTAATGGTCAGAGACAAATATGTAAAATCATAACGCTTCAGATCTGCAGCTAGGGTAGGGTTATAATGATTGCATCCAATGGTTTCCATTGAATTTTGACCCCCACCCCCATCCCTAAAATCCCTTAAAATATACGAACACAGGTAAATATTATTGTCTCCTTTGGCAGGTAACTACATTTTTTTTTTAATTCTTTCTACGTGTGAAAGGAGCAAAATGTTCATAACTGCGATCACATGCTATTTTTCAAAATAGAAATTGTAAAATTTAGCTAGCCTTATCCATTTTGAACAGATCCACGAGATTATATTTATTTTCTAATGTAAAAAGAAATTATATGCCAATTTTGGCGCTTTTAATGAAGACTACCTACCATTTACTTAAATTGATTTCTTTTCAACGAAACCAAATATTAAGCCTTAATTTGAAAGTATGAATAATTGTAAAGGTTTTTTTTATTCAAAATGTTTAGGATATTTTGTTTTTAATCCGTTTTATAGAGAATGTACAACTACAGAAATTCTTACGTTTATATATTGTGTTGTGTTTTAAAAAAGTAATTTTTTAACTGCTTCGCGATCTTATTTTAGCAGTTTTTAATTCTGGATATGTTTGAAATTAATCATGCTTGGTTTAAAATCGTGTGAAAAATTAAGGCATCCAAACATCCAGACATGTTTTAAACATATTAGAACCCAAAACAATTTTAATACAAATTATTTGAATGGATTGATTAAATATTTTATACCAAATATGAATTGCATATAACGTTTAATAAAAAAAAAATACGTCATAGATCCCAAACCTTTCCAAACAATCCTCGTATGCTTTGAATGCATCTTTTTTTCTTTAAAAAAAGGGTTTCTTTCTAAAAAAAATTCTTATACAATGTAGAATTGTATTAGAATACAAGTCCCCTACCAACAAGTTGAATCAAGTTCCCTTGAAAATTGAAAATGCAAAATTCTGTCAAAAATCAATAAAGCAGAACAAAATATTAGATCATTTGGGTTATCTGTTTCCCGTCAAAACTTGGTATAATTCTGTCAAAAATCAATCAAGTGGAACAAAATGCAAATTTGCCTATTAACATAAAATGCAATAGTTAAAATCAGCTTAATATATGTATTTTCCGACATTTCTTTTAAATAAAAAATGCGTAAAAACTGAAAAAAATGATGGGTAGTAATTTCTTAAAAACTGAAGTGGAACGAAATACAAATTCCTTTACATTTGTAGCTTGTGAAGACACATTTCATTTCAAAAAACAGGTTCATATCTGGAAGCGATAAAACAGTCGAAAAAGTAAGTTGCACAAATTGACAGACAGAAGGGCAGCTAGACGGACAGAAGGACAGACAGACTCAGCAGAATTTACATTTCAGTCGGGTTGCATCGGAATGGAAGAAACAATTGAAAAGAATGGTAGATCTCATTATTCGTGAACAGTTTAGGTTACAAAAAGTATGCAGGCCATATTTTGTATTTTCTACTGGAAATGTTATTATGACATCTCAGAAATCTAAGGGCACTTAACGTAGAACCTACGTTGTATGACATCATAACTGGTGAATGCCTTTAACATGTGCTAGATCACTTATGACGTCATAATTAATTCAATGTCACATTTCCCCGTACTTAACAGCTTCAATAGAAATGGTAGAAAATACTGCATTTTGAAATTCACAGAATTCAATCATATGCCATTCAATTCATATATTTTTGGTTTATAATGCTTTATGGCAATATATTTACATCCACTGAATATTTTCTTCTTTATTTCTTAAGAAAACCCATTGCGTTCATCCCTGCATAAACTACATTAGGCATATCAACTGTACAGATTTATTGATCAGTGGCCGTTCCATCAATGAAACGTACAAAGACGTTCGCATCATTAACACAATAATTGATATTTTTAAGCCTACTTAAAATGATAATTTAAACAGATATAAATATAAACAATAAATCATTTTTCTTTGTTTGTTGTTACTGGAATGAACGGTCGCAGCTATTGCAGAAAAAAATTACATAACCCGCTTACGCAGGTTATGGATTTTTTCTGCAATAGCTGCTTCCGTTCATTCCAGTAACAACAAACAAAGAAAGCATTTTATTGTTTAAATATTTCTGGAATAAGAAAAAATATGTAGGCACCTTTCATTTAGTAGATCTAGACCTGAAGTTGACAAACTATCTACTGTAATGAAATTACAATGTATACAACTTCCGTAATAATTTGAATGGTATGCAACCATTTTGAAGGAATGCAAAAATCGTAAGAAATCTTTAGTTGCGAGCTATAAAGTGTAATATGTGATGAAATGTGTCTAAGTCAAAAATGTACGTGTTGAACATAGATAGTGTGATCGTTTGTACATTTTTTTGTGATATCTATATCGAAATGATGTGCATTCCTTTTAACAATTATTTGTTTCTTATTCATATTTTTGGTGTTTGATTACAATTTTTCTATTAAATATGATATTTTTAAATTAAAGTTAAAATTTTGGATAAATATTAATTCTGAAAGTAACCCCAAACAGTCATTTAATTATTAAATCCTGTGTAAGTGCAAAAAGGGTATCTCTCATCAGTAAGAGGGGAAATGTATATATTTTAATTACTTTTTGTAATCATTCAGGTATGTTCTTCATCATATTAAAGATTGAAAACTTTGTGACAAAGACTTCTAAAAAATATTTGCAAATGAAGGGTGCAAAATTGACTAAAAATAATAGAGTTAATTTGACTAACTTTTTTATAATGATGGACTTATCTTTTATGTGAATTGAATAAAAAAAGAAATTATTTTTGAGAAAATATTTTTTAATATTGTTCAGTTAATAAATTTTATAAACGACGATGTTTGAAGAGGTATTTTTGTGATTTTTCATATTTCCACTATGACAAGTACCCCTAAAAATATTTGAAAATGAGAAGTCGCAATATGTAAATACCATATCAAGTTACACAGCCTGTACTAGATTTAGAAACAAGGAAACGTATCATGAGCTTTTAACTGATTGATTAGCAAGTACGTCTAATTTAACATTTTGAAATGTATGAAAATCGTGCGATAAAGATTTTTCCGATATAGGTTTTACTTTAAAGCTTTAAAACATAAACTCTAGACATGTTAATCTATATAAAAATACTGCAATCCTTTTAAAATTTTGAAAACGAATAACAACTTTTATCAATTCTAAATTCTAAATGTTTTTGATAGGAACAACGACATACGAATAACATTTTCACAATGAAATGTGTCTAATTGATATAGGATCGCAGCAATTTTAGCAAACTTATAACAATTAGTTTTTAAAAATACACTGATATTTTTATTTGTTTAACATTATGTGTTATCAGTATTTATTGGAAACATTTTAAATAAATTCAAAGACTTTGTATTTGAAAAAAAAATGAATCATTTCAAACTTATATAGAATAAAAAACTACAAAATTTGGAAGACACAGCAGGTCAAAATTAAGTTATTTACATATTTTATTTAGTTATTAACAGACATTTAAACAGTAAAATGGAACAAAACAAATAAACTAAAACATTTGAATTAAGAACTGTTAAATCAATTCTTATTCTTAATTATGGCTTAATATTTAAAATTTGAGAAGATACATTTAGATAGTTCTTATTGAGAGCGACAAAAGGCATGACTTTGTAGAAAGTCATGAAACAGCTGATAATGATGCAATTCGGTGTTATACTGGGGAAAAAGCCCAATTAAAGTATGAAAATGCAAGAGGACTTAGAAATAATGTGACAAACGAATAGTGCATGGACTGTAAATAGGGCAGTCGGTATTCAAGCAACAGCGACTCTGTATCGGACGTTCAAAATAGGTAAAACAAAAAGTTTAACTGTAAAGATCTGATTGAAAAATATCAAAAAGTTTGAACATCATGAAACATGAAACATCATGAAACAACCAGGCGTTTCAGAGTTGCTGATCTTGTGAAAGCACAGTTAAGTGATAAAACAACTTATTGAAACATTGAAAAAGGTAATTATATAACAAGAACATTTGTTTGGAAAGTAATTTTCAAGTGATACAAAAAGGTTTCAAATCAGTGGTTATTGGACTACAATGTGTGCAATGTATAGGGATATATTTTAATTTTTTTTTATTCTTTATTTTGACATAAATTACCGTTTAATGTACATGTACTCCTCAGTAACAAAACGTTGATTTAAAATGAAGTAGATTGATTTCTATGAAATCGAACGAAATGGAACTTCACACATTGACATTTTGTACACTTGATCTTGTGCTTATATTAAAGTTTAGGACATCGTCCACGATCTTTGCAAACAACCCTGGTATTTCCATTAGACCTTCAAATGTAAAGCGTACTTTTGTTGATATAATTACGGCAAATGAACAAAGAAGAAAATGAGAGAAATAAAAAATCTTCTATACTTTTAGTGCCTAATTGCTTCAAATTGAAATCAGAGGAAAACAATATAGTGGCAGATGAAAAAACACCAGATGAAGAAATTTCAAGGTAACTTTGATCGACAGATTATATTTATTTAAACATGCAGTAATTATCTATGCATAAAAATGGTAATTTTCTTTCATAAGTTTCTTATAAGATTTATTTAAAAACTATATTTAGTACATGTCCTATAGCGTGCAATATATATCTATAGTATTTCATATACAAGTTAGTACGTTTTCAGAACTCCAGATAATAAGGTTTTAAGGTAAGTTTATATATCATTGAAAAGGAACCATATCTATACAGCAAGGATATATGAATAGGAACATAGTGTCACTTTTTTGTAAATCTCTTAAAATAATTCAGACAAATGGAATATTTGTTAAATCTCCATGATATTGTAATTTCTTTGTTAGCTATATTTAATATAGATAAAGAATTATCAGATCTCCTGAAACAATCTCATGTACAAGCTGACTTATCCAAATTTAACCGCACAGTGTAGCATGAATCATTTTTACTTTTCTTCTTTTTTGTTTCTAGTTAAAAATTTGAGATAACAAACAAATATCAAGATAAACAAACATTTTTTTTTTCATATATGTAAATTAAAGCACCCACGGAATTCTGGAATATCAGAAATGGGATCAACTGCGATGAAGAAATAAACACCGCCTGCCGACCGACCGTTCATGTTCGACATGTTTTGCTTATCATGATCGAAATCGAGAATATTCAAACCTTTTTTTAAACAAATAGTATTTAAGTAAAAATTGGAATAAGAACTGACGATTTCACGCTTGCGTTCATTTAAGGTATTGTTCTTCTCAATTTTCTTTCATTTGATTTTTTTTTATAAAATCAAGAAGACACTATTACTATATAACAGTATTAGTGAGATTAAATTTAGCTTTTTGATATTAGAGGCAATGTCAGATAAATGCGATCCCTACAAATGCAATCCCTAAAAAATGAATGTTGTTTCTTTTACATAAAAATGCTACCATAAATGACATAAAAGGTATTTTTACCTTTTTGACATGAATAATATTACTATAATGGATATTGGTTAATCCGATTTTTCTCGATTTTTCTTTCTTTCAAGGTTACATTAGTTTTTTATGCACATATGCTTCCTATTATCCCAAATTTAATTTTTTTCTTATTTTTAAAGTTTTAGTTTGTCGTATAAAAATACAAAATGATACAAAAACAACAAGAGGCCCAAAGGCCACATTGCTTACGGTACCTGACGAACTGGCTGGCTAAAATCAATTATCGTTTCAGTATTGAAAAGTTTAAATATAAAATTCGGTTAGTGGAGGGTGACAAATTTTAAAGCATTCCTTTTATCTGAGTTCTAGACTTAATCATGAGTTATCGACATACAAGTAAAACTCTGTACAGTGTCTTCATAGAGTTTAAAAGAAAACAGCATGCATATATTTCAGTTATGGTACCTTGTAAATCAAAACATAAAAATATCCATTTTTTCTATCATAACACACAATAGACATAAGTAAGACATCTGCATTTCTTTTTCAATATAAATGGAAGCTAAAATGGTTTTGAAGTTTTCAAAAATGAGATTAATATGATTTAAAAATGGTATTGCCACAAAATAGTGCATACTTGTGAATCGATATATATATATATATATATATATATATATATATATATATATATATATATATATATATATATATATATATATATATATATATACATTTCCAATGTTTTTGTCTGAGATAAAATTACCAATTGTAAATGTAATTGATTTCCTCATGAATGTTTTGGCACGGTTCCAAAAAAAACCACGTGCAGGGTGGGACAACACCTAGAGAGATGCAGGCTAGGAGCACGTGGATTGGCAGAATCAAAGCATGTAAATATAAGGATTAACTGTCTGATTTTTCAAATTCATGAAGATCATCAATAGATTGGCTTGTGTGATAATTTTATGCATAAACGCCGTCGGCGTTTATGCAAACTATCACACAAGCCAATCCATTGATCACTTCATGAATTCGAAAAATAAGACAGTTATTCCTTAAATATATATATATATATATATATATATATATATATATATATATATATATATATATATATATATATATATATATATATATATATATATATATATATATATATATATATATATATATACATAAAGCACTAAAAAACCAACAACACTGTATATCCTAAATGTCGGATCTACTAAGTAGATACAAGGTCATGGATGGAAATTTATATAAAGCACTAAAATGACCAACGTTTGTTCGTGTCGTTGGTCATTTTAGTGCTTTATATATATATATATATATATATATATAGAGAGAGAGAGAGAGAGAGAGAGAGAGAGAGAGAGAGAGAGAGAGAGAGAGAGAGAGAGAGAGAGAGAGAGAGAGAGAGAGAGAAAGCACAGAGAAGAAACTCACTTTAACAAGGATATTCACTTCTGCCGAATCCGTGGGTGAACGCTCGATCTCCGGAATCTGCCTCCTAGCAGTGCAGAACAGCGCTTTAGACCGCTCGGCTATTTAGGCAAGTTAAAAAATTGCTTTCGATGCAGATGGAATTCTCACAACGCTGCCCTACACTACACGGTCATTGAGAAAAGAAATGAGATATAGTTATTTTGACATTAGTTTTTGAGGATATTTACTAATACATGTAGTGTTGAAATTAATTTAATTTATAAAGCACAAATTACAACAACTCTTAAACTTATATGACTGCCCTAAGTGAAGAAATATTAATACAGAAAGCACAGAGAAATTTACTTTTACAAGGATGCTCACTTCCGCCCCAGCCCGAGGTTGAACTCTCGACCTACGGAATATGCCTCCTACAGTGTAGCAGTGCAGAACAGCGCGTTAGACCGCTCGGCTATCTAGGCAAGTAAAAATCTTGCTTTCGATGTCGATGGAATTCTCATAACGCTGCCCTACTCTACACGGTCATTGAGAATGGAAGTGAGATACAGTTATTTAGACATTAGTTTTTAGAGGATTGTTACCAATACATGTTGTGATGAAATTAATATAATATATATATATATATATATATATATATATATATATATATATATATATATGATAATAATATAATACATAATTTATATAATATAATATATTATCTGCCACATTACTCGCCTGAGTACCTCGGCTTGAAAAAAAGAAGATATCAGTTCAATTTTGAAAAGTTGTGCCGTATCAATGGTCCAAATTTCTCAGAAGGAAGGGGCATCATTTTAACAAAAATGAGATCATAACAAGTTTACAACATGAGAGACAACAAAAGAATCGGATTAAAAACTCACTGAAGCTTTGATTGAGGTGTACAAAAATATGTTTTGCCATGCAATTTTTAGACAATTACCAATATGAAATTAGACCAGATAATGGACACAGTAAATTAATATGAAATAAATTTTCCCAGAGGAAATTTTACAAGGAAAAAGATGAGTTTCTCAATATACAATACAATGTATTGTAGAAGGGACTGAATTAATAAGGTGTGTTTTTGGTTGAAAATTAGGTCATTTATACGAACATAACCTGAGTTGATGTCTATTACCAAACCCTAACACGTAATCAACGTTTAATCTCACTTCACTAAGAGAGCATCTAAGACGTCAGCGTTAAGAATCAATTGGTTTATCAATCATTTTCTTTACAAATCGGTAAAGAAAAATGTTACAAAGACATTGCCAAACGAAGCTCTTCCTCTTAAAAGCCTCCAATAATTAACAGAAGCCCAGAATTAAAATTCAAAATGAATTAAGCAAAACTTTTTTTCATGACAATGCTTTTTTTTTATTTAGAAGTTATTTGATTGGCGTAGTAATCGGCATCTCCTTTATCATCACCATTTTGATATTGACTTTGATGTGGAAATGTAAGGTTTTCAAGCGAAAGGTAATTAATAATAGTTTCAAAGTTGTTGATCTTTTTAGTTTTTTTCACTTTCTGTTAAATAAATTTTGATTCAGATAAAAAGAAATTGTTCAAGTCTCCAAATGATTCCTAAAACAAATCTTACTCGATAAAAGTAAATATCTTATTTTTATTTAAAGGTGTGTGATTTTATGAAATGTAATGACTCGGGGGAGAATCATGTACTGCAATTCGAAATGGTTGAAATGATCAGGTAAAGAGCCTTTTTTTCAATATAATTATTTTGGATTTTAAAGATCTGTCTTATTTTATGTATAAAATCAAAGCATGTGAATTGCGATTCATGAGTTAATGGAATATGTAAAGATAAAATAAAAGGTGGTCAATTTGAATAAAAAATCTAAAGATTTTACAAGTTTTATGAAGATTGCAAAATAGTACACTTGGAAATTCCAAGGAGCAGAGTAGAGAAGTTTTAAATAACTCAGAATGTAGTTATAAATTTTGTTCGTGTGTTTTAATTTATTTGTTCATTGTCTTATATTCATGTTAATCAGTTGTGTTGCTGTTGTTGTTTTTGTCAATATCAGTATTTTAAACTAAATTAAGTGGACTTTTTTTTAGGTATTTAAGATATTGATAAATACTACATATGAACTCATTTCTAAAGAATTAAAACTATAAAGAATATTTTCTTATCTGGATCTAATTTTAAGCAATGATTTACTCTTTCATTTAACCTTGGACAACATTAGTTTAGAAGACAATGTACATATAATATATATAAATGGTTATGAATATATATCAACTGCGAATATAAGATCGTTAACTGCATGGATTGTTGACTTAAACTTAATTACGCAAAATATAAGCGTTCACAAAATCAAACCATTATTTGTCTTTGTTTATCTGATATGATCAATCGATCACCTGTACAGCTATGTTTTGGAGCATACATTTTAACAAATGTTTAAAATGATACAATTTTTTTTTACTACAAAAAAAAAACAGATATATATATAGCAATGACAACATAAGTTCACTTTCACCTGATAAAACCTGATAAAAGTTATTCCTGTACCTGGGTATCCTTCGTCTCCAAAGCATGGTGCAATAACTTATTTGCAGCTTCTTCAAAGTTAGAAGGATGAAATATTTTTTTTTAATACATATGATTTAAGACATCATTGTATTTAATTTTCTATTATATCAAGAAAATTATATTTTGTTATTTTTATTTATTAGTTATTTTAACCTGTTTTATAGCTTTAAGAAAATTATTCAAAGTAAGTGTTTATTATTCCAACTTATCCTGAATTGATGTAATCAGGTCCAGCACAAAACCTTGATAAAGGTATATAACTTGATAAAGCTATATAGCTTTATCAAGGTATAAAAATACACCAATCATGGTATTTTATGTAGTGAAAATGAAAAAAAAATCTTAAATAATTAAATGCTGAAACTCGAATTCTGAGTTGTTACAAAGTAAATTAAAAGTAATGTATTCATAGTAATCACTACACTAAATCAAAGTTTTCAAAGTTATCACTCTAGCAAATCAAATTTTAATATGTCAAAGTTACAGTGCAGGGAACTAATTTTGTTACATAAACCAGCATCAGGATCAGCATAAGTAGGATCAGGATAGAACTAGCATCAGCATCAGCATTTAAAAAAAAACAGCATTACTTGGATCAGCATCAGCAAGCAAAGGATAGAACTAGCATTGACCAAAGTGAAAACAGATAAAGGAAAGTCATTTAATACAAATAACAAATAAAAGTTACCCCAAAAATTAATTGCAATGGCTTAAAATACTGTTTTTGAATTATCCACTTCCGGAAGGATAATCCTACTTTCGGTAGCATTACTAGCATTGACCATGTTTCAAACCAGCATCAGGATAAGGATCAAACCAGGATCTGGATAAGGATAACTAGCATCAAAATCAGCAAGCAAAGGAAGCATCAAAATCAGCAAGCATAGGAAGCACCAAAATCAGCATTAATGCTGTAACAAAATTATTTCCCTGCACTGTATCAATATAGTAAAACAAAGTTTCAAGTTATCATTGAATTGAAGTAAATCAAGTTATCATTGAATTGAAGTAAATCAAAATTTTCATAGTGTCAAATTTATCACTATAATTAACTATAGCTTCTATAGTTAGCTAACTTGTTAAGTCAATGGCTGTAAAAGTAGTTTCAGGGATAAAATTCTGTAGCAATATGCTTTTCAAAATTGCCATGAACAGAATGCTTGTGAACATTTACTTTAGCTAAAAACCCTTACTTTCTACATTTTAAGTTATCGTATGTGTTCTGAACCAAAAGAGCCCTTTTTCGTTGGATTTAAATCTATAAAATTGTCCAGGGACAACATCAATCATAAATTGATAGTTTGCTCATTAATTCTAAGCAAAAAAAAATTGTACAAGACAATGCATATTTAATTTTTTCATAATATCTACTCTAAAACACATGTACAGGAACCACGAAGCAATACAAAGTATTAAATATTTATAATATTGTCAAATTCTTTAACTAGGTTATTATCGTGTATTCAAGAGAAAATAAAACTGAAAAAGTGGGTTAAGTTAATATTTAATAACATATGATTAAATCATTTCAGAAGACAAAATGCCTAAGCGGCAGACAAACTCCATACCAAAGAGAACATCATAAAGGAAAAGTCACTTCGATGCGCATAAAGAGCCTTTATCCTTCTACAACCTTTCAGTGGCAGCTATCATAAAACATTCTCAGAACTTTGTCAACACTTGCAGTTTTTATAATATATGCAGCAAGAAAAGTGCAGATGTCTGTTATAACATTACTAACCGGGATATATGTGATCATACTTCAAGTGACAACTAGCACTGTGCCTGCAGTCGTGCGCTCTGGATTTTCATTCCAATTAAAAAACCATAAACAAGCATTGTTACTCTAACGCCTCCCACTTCTTCATATTCATATGAAATTTTACAAGACATTACAGACTCGTAAAAAAAACATTGCGAATTTAGTCAATGCTGTACCTTAAGTGAGCAATTATGTAATCGTATTTTTTTAAAGATTTTGTAGAGATTTGAAGAAGTAGTTTGTTGTATTTTTGAAACTGCCTAAGCAGCTGACAATTAAAGTATACATAAATATGTACCATGTTTTGGAATGTGTAAATATAGTTTTTTCACATCCGAATCCTTTGTTTGAATGTATATATGTTGTTAATGTAACCCATGATCCAATATTTTTGTTTGGCTACGATGTGAACCGAAATAAACTGAATATATATTTACCTGGTAATAACAAAAAGTATAGAACGTTTCAGCAACAAGGAAAATTGGTTTTCCTTATCTCCTGAGGATGCAATGTTAAATGATCCTGATAATGAAAGAGTGCCCTTAAATGTTGACATTTTCAGTTCCTGGATGACATTTTGTATGGAATTAACATTTTCCCCTGTTCATCTTTAATGATGACTTCTGATTTATCTCGGTTATTATTAAGTAAACATGTATCATATAATTATGTCCGAATCTAAAAAAATAAAATGATCCAGTGAAATTATTATAGAATTTTATACACCCGTCTTAAGATGCGATGTAAAATTTTTACTCTTTCAGCATGACTTCCATAATATTTTCAGATCTGAGGAAAAAGATCCTAGCTGCATTCAAACAGAAGGATTGTGAGAATCTTGCCAAATGGATCAAGAGATTGACCAACCACCTGCACTGGGTGGTAGCTTCAACACCTGATGGGAATGGGGTCTTTATGTGGGCGAAGTGGGAGTCTGTGGAGAACCATATCCACAATGTTCATTAGGGCCCCAATGACCTATTGCCATTGTGTTCCAATGACACATTGGGGAGTGATGAGCAGAAAAGAAGTGGATAAAAACAGGTAAAACCTTATGTCAGAATTTATCAATGATCAGTACTATCTCAATTGGTTAATGTCATAACTCACGTGCAAAAGGAAAAATCCTGTGCAGTAAGTGTATGTTTATTTTTTTCCATAAAGGAACAAAAGCCAATGAGAAGATTTGTGACATCATCCTGTCCAATCAGATGAAGAAGGATATACCAAGCTATCCCCACTGCATTAAACATCCTAGATTGGGGCATTCTACAGCACTATTAATCACTTTCCACCAAAGATGGTTTTCTTCTCTTCTTATGCATTTACTGCAGGTATGCTTACAGAGTAACATACATTTTTTCTATAATAATATAGAAAGCTGTGAGAGTTCTGTTACTTTTTGTAATCAGTAAGATTTAAAATGTTATGTAGGTTAATGGTCGCAGCTCTTCATTTTAATGAGAACTCTTCAAGACTGCAGACAGTTACAAAGCAGGGAAACCTACACTTCAAGATCAGCTTTCCCAAGTTCAAGCATGGTGAATACAGTGTGTGCATGAAGACTGTAGATTCCACACGTGGTTAGATAACGTTATTGAAGCACATCAATTTAAATGTATTAAAAGAAAAAATTTTTGAAGTCTCTGAGGGACATGATAAAAAAATTACCCTATCCCCCAAAAAACCAAACGAAGAAACTGATATGTTGAATGATTTTTTTTCAATGATGCTTTGCATTTATCAAAAGAGATTGCAGCCTCATATAAGTATACTTTTTAAATATTGTCTATGCATTCCAGGGTATGCATCTGCTTTGATCATGTTGATGAGCGAGACACTTCGACATGTTGAGGCATTGTCCAGTTCTCCAGCACAGTCTGCTCCACCTGCGCTCTGCTTAACTCGGTTACAATCACCTCTTCTGTGTACTGATTTTCTTTACCCTAAAAAGGATGAAACAGTGTTTGATTTTCAGTCATGGTTCGGCTGGAAAGAAACATCTGTATGAGCCCTTGTATACATAGAACTGTAAAATTCATTCACTCTATTACTCATGTAGTAGTTTTCCAGCATACATAGAACTGTAAAAATCATTTACTATATAATAATGTTTTAGTTTGCCATAGTCTGTAAACAGTAGTGTATTAATAGTTTCATAGTTAGTATTTACTTATAAATTTTCAAGTAGTAAAAAATTGGGAACCAAGAAGCAGGGTCCCAGTCCGTTCCTGGGTGCAAAAAAATTGTACTCAAGATATTTTTGTAGCAGATGCTTTTCGAATTTCATTGTAAATACGTTCATATTGCTTATGTTTTGTTAATTTTTTGAAACTGCTTTTCTCTTGTATTGTATGGCTGCATTTATGTTTTCTTTTTATGTGTTGTGTGAGGAGCAAGATTGTTTCTGTATTCTGTTGAAACATTACTCATTTACAAAATCTATGCCATGTAAACTTTATATTTATTGTATTTTATCTGTAAATTTGATAGTAAAATTTGATCATATGGCTTACTCATTCAGGGTCTATGGATCCCCAATTCTCTTTAGAACTGAAGGAATTTTGAATCTTTTTTAACTGCACAAGAGGTTAGAGGGACACGAACACTCTTTTCCAGGTAGCCCCAACACCAACAAACAAGCTGACGATAAGCTATATATCTGTTTCTTCTGTAATAAGAGAAAATCATGTTTATTATGAACTTGTGTGATAAAATAAAGGACCATCCTTGTACCTCGTTTTACTCAATTCTTTGTTAAGTATTTTAATGTCCTTGCTTTTACTTTTGAAAATTAACAACCAGTATCAAAACTCAATAAAAACACAAATTTTCTATAGAATGTGCGTCATTTTTCATGGACAATTTATCATAATTTGAAAGTTTTGGACAGAATTTATCCAAACCGGAAGTGACCTTGATCTTCGTTTAATGCCAAAATATTAAGTCACACCAGGTTAAAAGAGTGTGAAATTGTCCTCAAACATTCTTAAAGACATGAAAACAAACAATTTCAATCGTACGAAAAGATAACAAATCGATGCTCGTGACAGTATTATATCAGCTCAAGCATTCTGAATCATCCTTAAAGCGGTGTTCGTACGTGCTTAACACCATAGGATATTGACCAAAAGGCATCTGTGTGGTGATACACTGTCAAATTCCCGGATCTGAATATCATTTAACACATTTTGAATTTTTTAAAGGAATGTCAAGCCCCCCCCCTTCCACAAAATGTCAACGATTTGGAAAGATGTATGCAGTAGCAGGTGTGGCAGCAGATAGGTCAATTAAATTCGGGAGTACATGGTATCCAAAAGTGAAGATTATCTTGTAGTAATTAAAGCAAGTGGTGGTCATACTTTATAGTGAATTTTTTGTGTGAATTTTCTTGTTGATGGTACAACATTTCCTTGACACTTTGGTTTAAAAATCTGAAGAGATACTTCCATGAAATTTACGCATTTTCGAGCTTAAATATGCATCATAAACCATGAATTAAATATTTTTTTTAGTCTCCGCATCTGTTCTTAAAAACTTAAAAAGATGTTAAGTGAACACTCAGAAGTTTGGTTCAATACAGTTATTTTAACTAACTTGTGGTAGTCTTTGTGATTTTCTTCAAACTATATATTCAACTGCTTTACTTCATGTTAGGAAAAAAATTGTGAAAATTCAATTGAATGTCTTACTGTTCAATGGTCTTTTGCAATTCCCCATACTGGGAACGATACTGGTAGTAGGTTGTCTCCAAGACGTATATGTCAAGACAAACGGATCGGAATCCAGGGGCTCTTCTGTGATGCAAGGCAATTCTTTCTAAAAAGATGTTCTCTTTTCATTTATCCTGGCAATTTCATTGTAGCATTTACTTTCTCTAAGTATGGGTTTTGGAGTACAGAATTGGAGTGCACCTACAATATTCAAACATACTTGGGAATATATGGAAAATACATTAGACATAACGATGATTGTTATTAAATAAATTTTAAAAAATACACTAGAACTGTAGTCCCATAGTGCTAAATGTAGATGATGTGCCTTGCGTTTTTGGATTGTTTTCTGATACTGTATAAGAGGGAAACCATTTCTTTTTATCATTGCAAGAGGTTCTGACAAATCCTCACCGAATAGAAACGTTTGCAAGCTACAGACAAGTAGTACACACTAGTCTTAGGGATGTATGTAAACACTAACAGTGTTCTCCATGAGCTGTTTTACTGTGTTGCTTTCGACACAGTAAAATTTTCTCCGACACAGTAACGATTCAAATTTTATGCATGCGACAAAGTAAAATTTTGCCGACACAGAAAGATCTGTGATAATTAGAAATTCAAAACACACAAATTCTCTCTAACTGAAACTTTAATCAAACAAGTATATCGTCTTTCAATTCCAAAAGTTACAGCACTTAATTACTAGGGGTTCACCTTGCATTAGCAATTATCTCCTAGACCCTCATTGAACTTCACGCATGATGGAACAAAGACAAACACACTTCCATGTAACGGTTAATTGGTAGTTGCAATAACATACATTGTATTATTCAAAAAATATCTAAAATATGTCTTTTCTATAGAGCCATAGCTTAAGAATTATTTTAGCTCTCTAAGTCAGACATAACATCGTACCAATGTCATTTTATTGATATAAATAAATTGCTTAAAATTTTTAACATATTCAAGGAACTCTTGAAATATGTTACTGTTCTGAAGTTTCTTTTTTTGTAATGCGATAACTAGATCAAGAAAACTGATAAATAATCACGGCAAATTTACTTTCAAAAATGTTAAGTAGTTCGACAGTATCGGTCAGCATTTTCTCTGCTTTTCAGAACTTGTTTGTACGTTTATCAATGTGTACGACCATACCATTTCAACTTTATTTGTGTAACGAATAAGAGGTTTTTAAATAAGTGTGTGAATATATTCTTTTGTATTTTCATGAATAGTGATTCACTTGCGAATTTGATCGCGAAAATACCGCAAAATATTAGTTCTTTGCGTAAACTCTGCAACACAGTAACATTTAAAATGATGGAGAACCCTGACTAAGTTATTTCCTTGAAATGAAAACAATTATCAAGATTGGATACGTAAGGGATAAATAACGAGATGGTGTTGAATAATTAAGAGAAAAAATTCTCTCCGAGTGCCTGTCACAATATTGTAGATATTGCTCCAAATGCGCTTCCATACATATTTGAGTGTTTTACTTGCACGCATCGATGGTCACTAAATTGTAGCATACAGAGCTTCGGCATCGGTTGGAAAA